ACAGCTAGGTAGTTTCTTGTTTCTGAAGGTAGAATTTACTTGAAAGCAATGTAAATCACCAATTAGTTTATTATAAAAGCAGACAGAGGAACCTAAATAGGATAGTGAGAAACAGGCATGGTCACATGCGAAAAACGTAAAAAATAAAATTGCAGGGCTTCCCTGGTGGCGCAGTGGTTGGGAGTCCGCCTGCCGATGCAGGGGACACGGGTTCGTGCCCCGGTCCGGGAGGATGGGAGTGGCTGTGCTCCGCAGCAGGAGAGGCCACAACAGTGAGAGGCCCATATACCGCAAAATAAATAAATAAATAAAATAAAATTGCAAAGAATCTAAATGTTTTCTAAAAACCACTGCATTATAGATAAGTATGTTCGGGTTTTAAAAAATCCCTACTTTGTTATTAAGCTTTTACTACTCAAGACAATATTTAAAAAGTAAAGTCCACAAAAGCCCTTTGATGGGAGATAAAATACCAACATTTACTTGAGTGCTTTTATTTTATTCAACCTTGTTTTTTTATTTCTGCCTAGCTCTGAGAAATCAGTTCAAAGAAATTAATACATGGCCAAATTTATACTAACACTGATAAAAACTAAAATCTGTACATTTATTGAAAAATAAAGCAAGCATATGATGCCCAGTAAAGCATCAATGAACTAGAGTCCAATTAGATCCTAAAATTATCTGCAGTGTTTAGCTTTTCTACCTTCCTACTATACACAAACACACATACCCATACACACATACATAGAGAAGGAAAACAAACAAACCTAACACAAGAAAATAAGATCTCAAATAGAAAGAAGCCTCACATGTGAAACAGAATCCCATCCCATCCCTACAGGCTGTAGGAGCTGTAGCTGGTATGTGATTTATCAGTCTACTCAAATGAGAACCTAATCCTAGGTTGCAGAGTTAGTGTACTGGAGCCTGTGTCTGAAGTTTAAGCAGGACTTGTAAACCTGAGATATAAACTGGCTGTGGCAAGAGGGAAGATTGGAAACGACTGGATCTCTTAGAATCTACACTGTTGCATTCTGAATGAAATGTTGAAAATCTCTCATTTATAGCTGTGCAAATAAACCAGAAATTTCTTGTAACTATCAAAAAAAAATAAGATTTCATCACTATAAGCAAATTAAATCATGAATCAGGGTATATACTGTCCAGCCTCTCATACAGTTTTGTCCAATGAGAATACTGAGTTGTGAAGACACTGCAAGATCCTCAATAAAATCCTCAGCCCAGTTGTGATTAAAGCATTATACTTAACAACAAAACAGTGCCACAGATACAATGATTTACAACAAGGGCTTCAACAAAAGGTTAAACTTCAATTAGCCAGAACACTCAACTGCCAAAGTAAATTCCTCAATCTATTTTTTGAGCATTCCAATTAATGAGTTTTTTCCATGCTTTTGATGCCCTAATTTTTGGACAATGAAGGAAGAAAGCAACTGGATAAGACAGAGCAGCTTATGGGTATGAAGTTTATTCAAATATACTCTAAAGTATGTTTGCGCTCTAAAAAAAATTCACATTCTGCAAAATGGCAGGCTAAAAATAACAGGGCTAATGAGGAAAAGAGAGCTGGGACAAACCACTGAAAAAAAAAAACTATACAGCTCTGTCACCAGAACACTGACAAAAACATTAACTGGTATCTGGGAAGGTAACTTGGGCTGACCAGGCAGGTAGCTTAATTTGGCTGAAGGCTGCCACGAGGACATAAAAACACATCAAAATAAGACTAGGAGGTTCTCAACCAATAAGATAAAAGTGCAGTTCCGAGCCAGCGAGTGTGCTAGTCAGGAGGCCATCCATTGGTAGAGAGTCACACAAAAGCTGAGAGGTAGACCTCTCTGGGAAGAAAACCTCAGGTACAAGCATTCTTATTAATGTTCTCCAGTTGTAGTGGAAAGTCTACAAGCTGGCAGTGCAGCAGCCAAGCTCAGGGCGACTTCCTTCCCCTACAAGTTATAACGCCAGCTCCCCCACCGCTGCCCTGCCTCCCCTCGCCTAGGAAAAGCATTCCACGTGAAGCAATGTAATTTTTGTGTTCAACTGACATAATTCTCTGATTTCCAACATGTATGAGCAAATCCACATTAAAGAAACAAAAAGATCATGCTTTAAATAAGTTTGCAAAGTAAAGCTAGATATCCTTTTAGGCTCCGTTTTCTTTTTTTTTTTTTTTTTAATCTTTCTCAGGATAACATTGTGTGATAGTTCAGGGCTGTGATTTTAATCCATAGTGTAACTATATAGTTAGTCATTTTGGAATACAGTATGTTCCTATCAGCAAACAAACATGCTATAAAATCTCCCATCTAAACAAACAAACTCCTTTGGCACCACATCCTCCTATAGGAAAGAGTCGTGCATACTTAATGACTCGACTCTGAAATTTATATTCTCTTTTGAACTCATTCCACTTAGACTTTGGTCCCCAGCACTTCATTGAAACAGTTCTTGTTAAGAGTCACTGATGACTTCTCTGTTGTTGATCCAGTGGTCAGCTTTCAGTCCTCGTTTTACTTGACCTATTGTTAGTATTTGAAGCAGTTGTTCTTAAAGCCTGGTTTCACTTAGTTTTGGGGATACCACTCTCTTTAGGTTTTCTTCCTCTCTTTCTGCTACTTCTGAGTGTCCTTTGTTGGTTCCTCCAAATATTGGAGTAACTCAGGGTTTGTATTATAAACTTCTTTTGTTTATATACGTGCACTTAAGGTGACCTCTTCCTGTCTCATGGTTTTAAATACTATCTAACTTAAGACCTAAATTTATATCAACCACAACTTCTTTCCTGAACTCCAGAGTCATATAACTGATAGCCTGTTTAATATCTCCACTTTAGTATATAACGGTCACCTTGAGCTTAATATGTCCAAAACCAAACTGATTTTCCTTCCAAAACTGGCTCGTCCCACATGTATTTCCCAATCACGGTAAAGGCACCTCCATTCTTCTCCTCACTCAGGTCATAAAACCTTGGAGTCATCCTTGCCTCTCTTCCTCTTTCACCCTCCCATCCAATCCACTAGCAAATCATGATGACTATATCTTGTAAATATAATCAGAATTAGACGACATCTTGCCCCCATCACTGCTACTATCCTGGTGCAAGACAAATTCATCTCACTCTTGTTTTCTTGGAGTAACTTCTGAACGTCTCGCTGAGCTTATACCTTTCCCATCTTCTTGCCTCCTTACCCCTCTACTGACTACTCTTCACATAGTAGCTGAAATGATCCTTTTTAATAATGATGCTTTTTCACAAAAATAATGTTACTCTTCTACCCAAAGAGCTCAGTGGCCCCCTCATCTCATAATTAAAGCCATGGTCCTTTTGATGGCCTATTAGACCCTACACTCTTCCTGCTGCCTGTTCTTGTAATTAAAGTTTCATTGGAACATGACCACACTCATTCATTTACATATTGTCTGTGACTGCTTTCAGTAAAACAGCAGAGTTGAGTCATTGTAACAGAGACTCTATGGTCTGCAAAGCTTAGCTATTTACTGACTGTCTGGCCTTTTACAGAAAAAGTTTGCTGACCCTTGCTCTAGAATGTAAGGTTCTTTTTTTTTTTTTACATCTTTATTGGAGTATAATTGCTTTACAATGGTGTGTTAGTTTCTGCTTTATAACAAAGTGAATCAGTTATACATATACATATGTTCCCATGTCTCTTCCCTCTTGTGTCTCCCTCCCTCCCACCCTCCCTATCCTCCATTTTCTTTTGATTATTTTTCTTCTGGAGTGTTTGCCCTTTTCTTTTTGAGTTACATGAGTTAGCCAATTGTCAAATGTGTAACATAAATTACAAAAGTTAGCCAATTGTCAAGTGTGTAATAAATTTTTTTTCCAGTTTACCATTTGACTTTATGCTTGGGTTCATGGTTTGGGGGAATTTTTAATGGTTTAAATTTATATGTCAATGGATTCATCTTTTCTATTTCCTGAGATTAAAAGCCTAGTTTACACATTATCTACTCCAGTGTTATAAATAAATTCAGACCTATTTTCTTCAAGTACATTTATGTTTTATTTTTTGCATTTAGGTCTTTGATTTATCTGAAATTTTAGCATAATGTTTGAAGTAGAGATCCAGTCTGATTTTTCATCCACAAGTGGATAATAAAGTTTTGTATTTCCATCTGTTTTTCCCCACTGAGTTGAACTGCTATCTTTATTATACAAAACCTCAAATATATTTACATTGACCCTCTTTTCTACTGCACTGATCTCAGTGGCTGGAGGCTATGACAGAGGATGTTTAAAATGGAAAAAAACAGAGCAGAAATGCTAGAAACACTTTAATTGAAACAGTGCAGGGCAGTGCTGTTTAAATACTGCAACTTCCTAACATATTTTATATCTGATGATCCTCCTCCTCCCCCAAATCATCTTTTTCAGAAAATTGTACCATGTGCGTATATAAAATATTAAATTACAGTACCTGTCAAAAAGGAAGAAAAAATTCTTAAAAGAGGCTGTAATGAAAACTGAGGTATTCTTTTGGAATCAAAGGCCCACAGGATTTCTCCTTCTGACATACACTTAGGTTGCTTTCGAATTTTATAATCAATAAGGAATATTAAAAAGAGTGGCCAAATAAACTACTATCTAAGATTGGCAATACTGTGATCTAAAGAAGCAACAGGTCTGGATATTTGGATTTCAAAAGTTCAGACTGAATAATTAAATGTTACGCTGTAAGTTTTTCCAGAAATTCCAGTTTCCTTAATTATATAATCTCTATGTTTTATAAAACCTTATCTAGAGCTTAAAAATATCCATGTACTAATCATTAATTAATCTGCTTTCATTCCTATAGAAGTCTTATAAACATCTTTTTCAATGTATTTCTTGACTATAGTTTCATAAAATTATAATACATGAAATTAAAAGACTAGGTTTAGGTAAAGGAATGGAAACAGCAGGCCCTAAGTACGGTTATCTTATAATTTTTTTAATAAATTTTCCAAGTACTTACTTATTAAACAATGTATGTTATGGGAGTAACGGGAATTGTCTGGGATGGTGAAGCTGCCATCACAGATAGCAACCTGACTCTCACCAAAAGGAAGAGTGAAGAAACAAAGTTTATACAGCAAACATCCCAGGGCCTGTAAAACAAAGAAGCATGAATATCATCAGAGCTCAAGTATCAACTTAACCACAAGACAAAAAAAAAGTAGCCACAAACCAAGAACTAAATATGTTATTAAAAAAAATAAAAGCCTAATGTTTCTATACTGGATCAATCTTTTCACAAATTACAACTTAAACAAATTAATGCACTTAATTTTTAAAAAGGCATTTAACTGCATCATTACCATATTTTTCTATCACATCTGTGGCTAGCTGGCTGAATTAATGTTATCATGGAACTCTAGATCATGAATGATATAACTAAAATTATAAGTGGCTGGTTCCCTTCGGGAGAAAAATTACACTTTTACTTCTTTCACAAGGAAAATATATATTTAGTACATAACTAGCATATAACAACCAACGATGTAAGCACAAGGCTCCTCCGAGCAGAATTCTTTAAAAATTCACTATAATATCTGTTTTAAAATTCCAAGTACGAGTTAACCAGCACAGTTAAACTTAGCATACAACCATCAATACTGATTATTCCCTGATTTTCACTGATTTCACTGAGCACGTCATTATTTCATAATATATTATTCACTGAGCACATAATATAAAAATTCGTTCTCTACTTCTATATATAATCCTACAACTTTAATTCTATATTACACTAGTCATATTTGCACCTGGGTAATCTATATAAAATTCAAAAAGGAAGGGCTCTGTCTGCTTCACTTGCATGGATTCACAGACATCATAGCACCAATAAATCTACTTGCTGACAATGAAGACAAAACACCCTAAAACACAAATTGCATCTGGAAAAGTAGCACAGGAAATTTTTAGCTAAACTGCCAACAGCTCACACCTGAGACACAGTAATAAAATGTGATTTTCTGCTCAAGAAATCATTATGCTGTCACAGGAAGTGTCACCTATAAGCCTTATGAGTGTAAGGGGTGATTCTAATTCTAAATTGATTGTATAAAATTACCCAGTAGTAACTATACAATTACATCAGCAATAACTGAAATTTGGCCTATCTAAAAATTAGCAAATCAGCTTTCCTTCGTTGGATTTTCTCCACGCAGCAACTTAGCAAACCCAATTAACAAATACACTAGCTTTATAACTACTATGAAGATCACAGTATACAGAAATACCTTTCTGAGTTCAACAATATTAACTTACAACACATTATTTTCAATACTATAACAGTCTTCCAATGAAAAAAGTTTAAATACTCTAGAAATTTCAATATATTAGTACAAAAACATTACTAGATTATTTACCATATGACTAACAAAAGTATTAAGATTCTGAATAGAAATAACCAGTTCAATGTGGCTTTAAAAAAATTTACAATGCTTTTTTTCTGTAAGGAAGATATTTTCAGCTTTTATGCAACAGATTGAGCGTAAGCCTTCCTTAAAAGCACTAAAAAGTATATTATTCATTGTGTAATATCTGCATTAAATTACACATTTCTTCTGCCCAAATGATAGTTAGGCCAACAAGATCTGCATTTTAGCCAGTTTTATCTTGTCAATCAAACCTTTAATAACGTATCTTTTGTTGTGGGAGTTCTCAGATAACAATTTTAGATAGCAATGCCAGTGTACTTAAAAAACATAAATCTAAAATACTCCTGCTTTACAGAGTGTGAGCACAGTGAGGTGTCCTAATTTTTTTTCACACCAAAGGCATTTCCCTCTTTATCCATTTGATACAATGAGAATTGTTGAAGAAACAGGAGGGAACGAATGACCTTATTTTGAAGGCTGAGTATCACCGTCTTTAATTTTCCTCGTTAAAAGGTAACGTGAAGCATCTGTCACTGAATTTCCTACTGGTCAATAAAATCAGCATCCTAGTTCTCAGGATAAAAATAACCTACAATGAAAACTTCAAAACAAAAATTTTTTTCCCAAAATATATCTGCTAAATGAATACTTTAACCTCAATATCATAACCCTCTGAATCAGCAATATTTTTTTTCTGGATATTCTTGAATTCACACCTAAGACGTGTAGCATTTCATCTGAGCTAAGACAAGCATTAAAATGGCATCACGGAAATTAAAACTCTGTCAAGCATATAAACACAGATTCTGTTTTCTGATTACTTTTCTGGCTTCTTTTTTATCTTTGAGTATCTATTTGTCATCCCACAGCTATACCAAGTTATCCATTATAGAAATACTGTCCCATATACTAACCTGTAAATGGTATAAATTTTAAACTTATCACTGACAATTTAGTATGCTGCCTGGCATGCATTCGAAGCCTGGTGAAAAATGAAAACAACAAAAAAAGATTCCCTCCTTTTTGTTAAGATATTGGGCTGCAATCAAGTTCTTAGAGACTTTTTTTTTTTTTTAATCAACGCTTGATGATTTCAAAACAGCAGTCAAGCTATAATGTCTGTTGTTTCCTCTGCTGTTGAAATACGCTTTTAGGTAATGTGGATTTCAACATCAGTCACAAAATTAGGCCAGGAAAGACTTCCACAATCACCTCCTCTAATTAATACTTTCATTTTATAAATTAAGATCCAGCTGAATTTGCTTTCTACATTATACTGCAAGCCATTTACTATAAACCATTTAATGAGTCAAATGTTAACGCTGAGAAGAGCTTCGGAATTTGAGTCACACAAGCTGGTGATCTGTAAGCAGTATCAAATTACCTAAATCAAACCTATTCATGGTTTGATTAAATTATGTATATGGTTAAAAAGTCAACTACCACGAGATTTAAGAACCACCGGTCAAAGAGTGTATATTATGTAGACAAAGGAAAACCAATCATAGATACTCTTTTTTTTATTATTATCTTGCAAGAATATCTGGTATCCCAACCCCTATAAGAGAAGGCCAGGAGAGGGGCACCAAGAAGATATTCATTTGGGTTCACACGTTACACTCGACTACTTTCTAAACATTACGTTCTAAAACAAAGTAAATATGACTTTTCTTGGAAATTCTAGAACTACTTCCAAAGGAGTATTTTTCCTCCATCCCTAACATAGCCACTAGTGGTAGATGTGGCTAAATACGTGATAAATTTAAATGAGTTCACATCTAAAATAGAATTTCCTGCTAGTTTATTAAATATAGCCCAAACATATTTTACTTCTGAAATAAGTTCTAAAGAAGTGCGGGCACTCTAACATAAAGTTCAACTCTATAGAAACATGATATATCTCAATAATTCAATCCAGATATAGATGCTAAATGATAAAGAACCTAAATATATACAGGTTAGTCAATGGTATGTTTATAATTTTTAAAAAGTTTTACTCGTTAGTTTCCACTAAAAAGATCCTAAAATACTCCAGAAAATTATCAACAATATTACGTAAGAATTAGGTCTAGCTTTTCCATACTGTGATCAACCAAAATTGCACTCAAATCAAAAAAAATTGTTAACAATCACATATAATTTAAATTCTAAAAAATACTGTGATAAAAAGTTACATTATATGGAAATCCTTTATTTGCCTTTTTATACCTAAGCTTTTCATCTCAGGATCAAGAAGGTAATATGTGCTAATATTTTTCTTCTGAAGAAGAAGCTTTACTGTCCACCACTCTCTGCTACTTATTAGGAAATACCTTGCGGAGGACAGGGGGAAAATAATCAGATTTTGTTAATTTGGTTAGTGAAAATGTCAGCCTTTCTTGGCCTTACCCAGATATCAGCCTTGGTGGTGATAGGTTTCCCTCCATAAAGGTTGATCATTTCAGGGGCTCTGTATGACAGAGTTGTATACCTGGCAGTAAATAAGTAAAATGGAGTGGAGATATAAAAAAAAAGACAGATACTACATTGTTTCTACATAAAATACTACGAAAAACTTTTAGGTTCGATAACATTATCAAGAAATAATACTATTTTAAAAGCTCATTAAAAGTCCATCAAGGATTAAACAATACAAAGCATCTATACACATTTTTATTCAACAAGTGCAATTGCATCTATAATGATAAAAACAATTTTTAATAGAAAAATTTTAAATAAAGGTGATGTATGGGAAATGTAGTTTTCCTTGAATTTCTTATAGGAAATAATACAATTTGACTATGAAAATATCCTTATCAAAATATTTTAGTCTATTAATTTAAAAGTAAAGCTTCCACCCTCTCAAAAAATTAATTTCTATGTTTATTAAGCAGCTTGTTTTTATGGACTCTAACATAATTCCTTGCACATGGTAGTAAATCTCCTTTAGGTTTGTTTTTATAATTGTTGTTTTAAGAGTAATCTCGTTGCCATAATTAACTATCATTACTTATACTAATTAAGTACAGTTCTAAAACTGTCAGCATAAGCAATCTGGAATTAAGATACTGTGAATAAATATTTACCAGTATAAAAACTCCAAATCCATTATGAACAGAATAAAGTAGTGCTCAATGAACAGAATAAAGTAGTGCAGAAATTATTAGAATATCAAAGGAATTCCTATAGTATGGCATAATTTAAGATTCATTTTCAGTGTTTTTATGTTTTATTTTACATGAATTATCTTAAAGCTCAATATTCTACCATGTTACTTTTTCCAAATTACCCTGACTGGGTGATACATTCTGATGATACTACTACAGAGGAGTGATCTAAGAAACCAGAATATAAACTACATGAGGACGGGACTTTTTTTTTTGTTGTTCACTGCTATACTGTATACCAACAACAGTGTCCACTACATTGTAGGCCCTGAATAATTACCTGTTAACTGAATAAATGGTTAGATCATTAACTCAACTGAGCCACAAAGCACAAGAACCCATGAGCTTATTACATTCATCACTAGTGTACAATTCTGCTGAACCTTAACTATACTTCAGATCTTAACAGCAAGAAATGAAACTTCCAGCAAGTCAAAGATGCTTGAGCAGAATTCTGCAGCTGTCATTATACATCACAACCCAATCTTTTAAAATTATATGTATATGCATATATCCACAAGAAGCTAATTCAATAATTCATCGTTCTGTTTCTTCAGGACATTTATATGTTTACTAAGGAGTTTGTTTTTATGGAATCTAACATAATCATCATAGGCTGTTTCCTGAGTAGAAATATGTAAGTCTAGAAAACCATAGTTTTATACAAATGGTCCAGAGTAAGATCAGCTCTACTTGAGCTATCTCAAAATATATGTTGCAGTTCAAACGAAAGCTCCTAGGCAGCCTTAAACAACTGAGAATTTGTAAGGAAGTGAAGAAAAGCAACTTAGAAAAGGCAGCTACTTAGAAATTTCTATTCTGACAGATCTTTCTGCATTCTGTATCATTTTATTAAGATAACCTAAGATTTACAAGCAGTACTATTTTCTAAAACTAGAAAACAGAAGTCAGGGAAAGGTCCTTCTAATAGTACTCTAGCAACCATGGAAAGTACAAGATTAAGAAAACGTAAGGCAGATACGAGTTACATTTCTACCAGAAAGTTTTCCAATACAATATTATAAAGTAACAAGTTTTCCACATAGTTTTCAATGCATTACTAGGTCAATCTTCTTAACATTAAATATGAAGTAAAAGTTTAATGTTTTCAAATAATTTAATTTTTTCCTAACAAGCACAAATCCTCAGTATCAATAAAAACAAAGATGTTTAACTGAATTCAGCAATAACTTCAAACCCCCTTTAATGATTCCACTAATTACTATAGCTTATTTAACAAACTTCTTGATAAATTTGTTTACAATGCAGATGAAACTTTTGCTTCCATCATAAAATGTATTTCCTATTGAACTAGATGAGACATAAACTAATCAATGTCTATGGCTCAGAAATATCTTAAAGAAATCTATTAATGGAATACCTAAAATTTATATGAGCAGAGCTGGTCACAGACTCAAGTTAACTAAAATTCCCATGAGACAAAACACAATAAAGATAACACTTACTTTTTAATTTCTTCTTCTACTATATTAACGCCATCTTTCTGAGGATTAAGAAATTTATTTGTGGCACTGCCAAAGTCACAAAGTACATAGTTTCCACCATCATTCAACAAAATATTTTCCACCTTCAGAAAAGAAAAGCAATTAACAGTATTTTCAAGGTGAAAATTATATTTTTATAACAATGTTTTTACAAGTTAAACACTGATATATAATATATAGAGAGAGACAGAGACAGAGACAGAGAGACAGAGACAGAGAGAGACAGAGAGTGAAAGAAAGAGAGAGAGAGAGAGAGAGGATACCTCAAATTGTGAGCAAGGACAAATGATTCAGAACAAAAATATACTTTACTTTATCTACTGCTTCTCTCACTAAGAACAGAAAAGTGCTTCTCCCATCCCAGGATGATTTCTGCTAAGGGCCAAGGAACCCTAAGTCCTCTCAAAAACTGCTTCTATGGAAGAGAAGAACTAGTAGCAGTCAGAGTCTATACTATGCCTCCATTTTTCTCCTTTTCTGACACTTAGCTTACCTATAGAAAGGTAACAAAAAACATTACAATTCTACCTTTGATTGACTCCTAACTCCATTTTTATCTAAAATACTACACTGAAAAACACAGATTTTACTTTATGCCTTAACTTAGAGATCAGAGTTGTAGTAACTTAAATGAAATTATGCGCACAGTTTCTAAAACAGGAGAATGTGGGTTCACAGCCCAGCTCTGCTACTTATTAGCATATGTACCCTTGGACAACTTGCTTAACCACTCTTGTGCTTTAGTCTCCTTATCTATAAAATGGGGAAAATAATAATATCTATTACAGGGGACTGTTGTAAAAACTGAAAGAATTAAAACATGTAAAGGGCTTAGAATAGTGACTGAAATAAGGTAAGCACACAATAAATGATACTATTATTAACATTTTTACACAATATTTTTTATTTTTATGATACAGTTTTAAATGAGTAATTTGATTTCTCTCCACTCTACCAAAATACTCACATTACAGTTTCTTTACAATTTTTCTTCTATATTTCATTTTACTCTACTTTTAAAAGTATTCAATATTTGCACAAAATATTTATATAAGAAATCTACTTAAAAAAAAGAAACTTACTTAAAACAAACAGGATTGCATAAATTTACACATGTAAAAAGAACTAAGTATATGAAATATGGTCTATATAAAACTATGCAGTTCAATGTCTTTTTTGTTTTAAAATCAAGAGGACTCAGCTGAAAACATCACCTTTATATTTAAGAAGTTAATGAGCTATAACAGTGCAAAAAAGTCAGACCAAATTATTGGGGAAAATGTAAAAGCTGCATATTCAAGAGAACTGAAATGAACTATACTGGTTATCAAAATTAAGGGACAGAGGTCTGTAGGCAAGTATTTCAATCTTGCCTCGACTTGTATCCTTTCAGCACAGGTTTCCCTGGATGATGCTTTCATGGTTAACAACCTATATTCTAAGTGACATCTTCTATTCTCTTGTATCTTAAGAGCATTTTATTATCACTTTTCATAAATTTTGTATAATAAGTATACAAAGTATACTTTGTATACTTTGTATAAGTATACAAAGTATATAAGTATAATAAGTATAATCAGAATTGTATAATCAGAATTGGGATTCATTCATTCATTAAATATTTATTGAGACCCTGCTATGTGCCAGGCACTGTTCTAAATGCTTGGATACATCAGTACGAAAGAGAAAAATCCCTGCCCACAGGAAGCTTACAGTGTAGTGGGAGAGGACAGAAAATAACCAACAGACATAATACATAAGCAAATTTTATAGTATCTGAGAAAGTGACAAGTGATAATAAAAGGCAGAACAAGTAGAGTATGGAAAGGTTAGGTTGTAATTATAAATAAGGTGGTGCAAGGACAGGACTCACTGAGAAAGTGAATCTGAGCAGATTTGAAGTGGGGGAAAGATTAGCCATGGGATATCTGGGCATAAAGCATTTCAGGAAGAGGAATTTTTGTAATCTTAGTGTTTGTAGGTATCAAAGAGGACCCCTATGCTTCTAAACAATATGTGTAATGATAGCTCAAGCAATATGATACCAGGAATGTTCAATCCCCTTTGGGCACTTTTTCCAATTTAACAAGTGGGTACCATATACAAGAGGTCAGATTCCATGAAAATGTAAGACAAAGTGACCTTTGAGTGGCAATCACCACCAAATTATAGTAAATTATCTAAAACTACAGTAAATTATAAATAAATGAGTAAAGAGACCCATTTACGGTCACCTCCAATATCTCTGGAAAACACCCTGATGCTTAAAATGAATTATAAGAAATAGGAGGAGTGCTGAACTGGGAAGAATAGTGTGGAGGGATATCTAACCTGTGTCAGTGATGTTCATATTTTTGTTCATATGAAACCTTTTAAAGAAGCCTGCTCTGTAAAACAGAAGCAAAGTAGGGAGCACAAAATCTACCTCCACAGTAGTGCTAGCAACCCTCAGGGTCATGAAAAGCACAATTTCAATTCTATAGTCAGTCTTTTATGGCCTCAGGGAATGTAGCTGGGGACAGAGAGACCAATCTCAGTGCTAGTAATAAAAACTGGTTTATATGAAGACAATCCAAGAACATTTTTAACTCCAAAGTTTAAAAGGCATTAATCCATACGTAGACTAAAGTTCATACCTTCAGATCCCGGTGAATTATTGGAGTCTTACACTGATGCAACCTTGCAACAGCTTCACAGGTATCACAGAATATCTGTAACACTTCTGGTTCTGTAAAACCTGTCTGCAGCTTCTTATTCATCTGATTCACTACCTGCCCAGCTAACCAAAAAAGTAATTTTGAGAAGACATATTTTTAATAAATGAAGACTACCACAAACAAAGAGATTAAGAAATGTCTATGGTCTCAGGTAATGGAGAATTGGCTTTTTTTGTAATTTTCATGTAAGGATGCTTATTATACCATATTGTGTTGATTTAATGACATACATTTTTTTTCACATTTTACATCTCTGAAGTGAAAACACCTTAAAATAAGTGACGTTCTGCTAATGCTATTGGCCATATTTTAACATCTCCAAATTCAGAGTGTACCTTGTAACTGATGGCATCACAGATTTGAAGAAACGGTTAGCACGGGTAAACAGTGGTGAACAAAGATAAAGTCTCTATTATCATGGAATTTATAGTCTAAAGGCAGAGATAAACTATCACACAAATATTTATCATAATTACGTACAATAAGGATAATATGAGAAAAACCCAAATTTAAATTAGTGAAGGAGGATGGGGAGAAGAGAGTGCCAGAGAAGGCCTAAGGAAGTGATTATTTATGTTGAGACTGAAGGTTAATCAGGAATTAACCTGGTAGAGATCTGGGAGAACACACTAGTGATAGCAAGTGACATATACAAAGGCCTCTAGTTTGGGAAAGAGCTTAATGATTTTGAATAACTAAAAGAGAACCACTGTGGGTATGGTCTAGAAAGCAGAGAAGAGAGTAAAGTCAGATGATACTGACAAGACAAACAAATCAAGATTTTATCTTGAGATTTTTATCTTGAGAACCAAGGAAACTTCCTGATCTGACCTTTTAGAAGATCTCCTTGATTGGGGGATAGAGGAATCACAAGAGTGGAAAAAGAGAGATAGGTTAAGGGGCTAAGGCTCTAAACCAGGTTAAGAGATAGTGGGCAGAGTAACTTACTAAAATCAAATAGCCACAACAATGAGCCACGAGAGAATTATTAAATATTACAATGTACTACAATAACTGATAATCTAATAATGACAATTCTTAATTACTAAGAGAAAGTTTACTATTATTATATTTTAACAATGCAAGTAAATACATGATTCATTCACAGCATTCTAACAGAAATCAAGTTTGGAAATTTGAAAAGGCAAGCTTATGTTAACTTGAAACTTTCCTGTAACAAGTCTGAATAAATGAATGTCTGCTACTGTGTAATCTGTAAGAAGGTGCATACACACCTGTTCCTTCTATTATTACTGTCTAAACAGCATTCTCATATATTTTCTGAAATAGGTGTTTTTTCTTAGAACTTTAAAGCAGGGGGAAAAAAAATTATTTTGCCTATCAATCCTCAACTTTCAGAAAACTCAGGTCCATTTGGTTGTAATTTGTTCAAAGTGTCTCATATAAGATTGAGGCACCTGACTAGGCAGCAATTTCCTCCATCCTCGTTTGTCAGACGCCCTGACTCATGTTATCCAAAAATTAAACAGTAAGAAAAGTGCTTTCTTGGTGTTCATTCACATTCTTAAAATATCTTTTCACAGATAAGAAATCATAACCTTGAACTCATTCTATCTTTTCCACACTTTCAATGTTGTAATGAGTAGAATAAATTTTAAACAAAAGTCGATCTTCTTTCTTCCCTTCAGAGATCTTTGGGCTTGAAACACAAAATCCAGTCCCCCAAAAAGGCTAAAAAGCTCTATTTGAGCTGCATTTCAAATGCAGAGACAAACAAAATTTCATTATTCAAAATCAAAGTCTTCTGAAAATTAAAGTAGAATTATTCTAATGAAAAATTTTAAAATCAGATTCAGAAAGGAAACAATGTATACTGAAGGTCTTTTAAGATAAGGTGCATGTAACTCCCGAATCTTTACATATTTTTCACAGTTATCATCTCCTAAACAAGAACTTTTATACGCTGCCCGATTTCATTATTAAAATTTAAAAAGTCAACATTTTTCTAGCCTCAACAATCTTCATCTGTCTGAGATTACAATTATACTTAATTTAAAATGCTATACTGGGCTTCCCTGGTGGCGCAGTGGTTGAGAGTCCGCCTGTCGATGCAGGGGACACAGGTTCATGCCCCGGTCCAGAAGGATCCTCCTGCATGCCGCAGAGCGGCTGGTCCCATGAGCCAGGGCCACTGGGCCTGTGCGTCCGGAGCCTGTGCTCCACAACGGGAGAGGCCACGGCAGTGAGAGGCCCGCGTACCACAAAAAAAAAAAAAAAAAAAAAAATGCTATACCATCCCATTTAAATTTTGATATGACTTTTTTTTAACAAGATACTTAATTTTATCTGCAGTAGACTGCACCATTGGCTCCCAAATACTCACTTGCCTAAAAACTGAAGCTCATGTAGTTCCCCTTTTAAAATGTCTTCTGGATGACAATGAAACTCATCCAGGGTTATGATTATGCTCAATTCAATTATTTTTGAAAAGTTACAAGTAGCGAAGGGCTATTAGTCAACTCTCATCCAGCTAAGAATTGGCACCTTAAATGCTAGAATTCAGGAAAGTAGGGTAAAGAAAATCAATATCGTCTCCTTAAAGAGATCACAAATGCTTTACAGTAGAGAAGATGAGATATAAATAAGGAAAAACAATCAAGAAAATATCTAATTTTTTACATTATATATGGAAATAAGTTACAAACATATCACAATAGATGTTATAATATTGATTCATTTCATTTTCCTCTGTCCATCCCCCTTCTTACAAGACTGGAGTAAATGAGACCACGTTTTCTCCATTATCATCACCAACCTCCTTCTCCTCCAACCTTCAGGAAGTGACAAGAGTTCCTGGTACCATAATTAACAATCATAACTGTCTTAAGAGAATTTATATATAAACCAGGGCTCCCTAGAATCCAAACTGTCAGATACAGTCTGATGAGGGAGGGGGGAAAGCAAGTTTGCAGGAAATGGATTAATTGCCCCCATTACACCCATTAAAGTAAAAAAAAAAAACAAAAAACTTTTCAGGGACTAAAAATTATTATTGTAATAATTTAGGCATACTATACAAGTAAATATTTCTTTGAACACACCACATTATATCCAAATAAAATGTGGTTTTCTATCTTCTGATGTTTTCAAAAGACCACATAATATAAGTTTATAAAAATTATAGATCAAAATGCATCCTTGAAATTTATTACATTTAATATGTTCAAAGATAACATGGTGGCGTGCTGGAAAAAAATCTTGCAACACTAATATGGACACAGTATGCTCTTCTTGGTTGGATTATAAAAGAAATGTATAGGCATCAGGAAAGGTGACTGTTCTTTACGTTTTAGATTTTCTGTTTAAAACCCAACAGCACTTTTCTAATTGTCCATTAACATATGCTCACATCATCATTGCATCAACTATGAGTAGGTTTTAAATACTTTTTAACAGCATTCCTTATTTAGGCAAATAATTAAAGCTGAGATTGCAATGAATGCCCAGAATTAGATGACAGCTGCCCTAAGAGAAACCAAGACACCTACTAACCCATTTTTATAGGCAAATTTTTTTAGCAAAAAACAACCACAGAAAAATACTTACCTCGACAATATTCCATTAAGATAAGCACTTCCCATACATTATCACTAACTGAATTAACAGTACAGTCCAAATAACCCACGATATTTTTGTGACCAGACAGCTCTTTCTGTAAAAAATAAACAAAATTTTAAAAACTGGCAAACATATTTTAAAGGTCTATCATTAACAATGATTTGAAGTCTAAATTAATGTATGTAAAGAATTTCAAAAAGTAAGATTTAGGTGTAAGTATGGAATCCGACACATTTCAAAAAGGTTTCTACAGTTTCAATGGAAAGTTTATTTATATGTGACTGTCATTTCCTAACAAGCAAATAGTTAATGAATACTTATTTTCAATTCAATGGGGAAGAAAGAGATGGTTCATTCAAAAGTAACAGTTTCCAGGGCTTCCCTGGTGGCACAGCTGTTAACAACCTGCCTGCCAATGTGGGGACATGGGTTCGAGCCCTGGTCCAAGAAGATCCCACACATCGCAGAGCAACAAAGCCCATGTGCCACAACTACTGAGCCTGATCTCTAGAGCCCGCAAGCCACAACTACTGAGCCCAAGTGCCATAACTACTGAAGCCTAGAGCCCATGCTCCACAACAAGAGAAGCAGCCGCAATGAGAAGCCTGCGCACTGCAACGAAGAGTAGCCGCCGCTCTCCGCAACTAGAGAAAAGCCCTCACACAGTAACAAAGACCCAACGCAGCCAAAAATAAATAAATTTAAAAAAAAAGAGTTTCCAGAAGTGAGTGTACAAGATAGTCCTTTGGGACTCAAGAATAAAATACCAGAACTTTTACTTATTTTTATCTTAAAAAGATAAAGAAATTAAGCTCTAATATTTATGAACAATTACACTCGCGTTTGTTTGTTTTGTCTGCAACATATTGCAATTTATGTCCACCTAGTCAAGTGAATTTATGAATGTATGTACTTTTAACTAAATAACCTAAAAAAATAAACAAGTAGCTAAAAAGGATTTCTGTAAAGAAACCATAAAGATAACACTAATATTACAAGTACAAGAAACTAAGAAGAAAATGGCAAATCTGACACTTTTGCTCCTGGTACAAGACAATCATTAACATTTATAAGGTTGACAATCATCAACATTTATAAGGTTAAAAATCATAATGATCTAAATAAGGTCTGTCTGTAAATTAAAAACTCTTATCAAGAATACTGTTTAAAATAATTTACATCCACTATCATTAAAATAAACCTAGTTTTAAGTGTGTAATATAATTTGAGATATTAGCTAACAGCAGCTGAACATGTGAATAATTCATAAATAAACATAAATAGTGAAGGATTAGTCATCAAAAAACAGTTTGAAGACAACTGCTCACCTCCCCAAAATAGCTTATTTAAAAGCATAGGATCTGAGTTTTGCTGAGGTTGACGCTATGTTTTATATATCTCAAAATTATACAAAATCTATTGAAAGGAAGAATTACAGTACAATACCATATCTGGGCTTAAGTTAGAAAACTTAGTCTAAGATTCCCTATTATCTCGGAGTAAATCTTTTCACCTTTTTGACTAATAGCCTTACCTGAAAAACAGCAAGTCTCAAAGCCTAATCAACTCTAGTCTAGCTAAGGAATAGGGATAATAAAAGCAGAATTCTGATAAGTCATACTGTATAAATGTGTCTATCTTCAAACAAAAAGGATCAAAATATGTGTGTTGATAAAGATGTTGATACAAAATAAGAAAATCTCCCTCTTAGCAGCTGGGGAAGCTTGACAGTAACAAGTGTTTTCAAGGAAGTAGATAAACTAGAACCCTCCTAACACTGCCGGTGTGAACAGAAAATGGTTCAACTGCTGTGGAATTAATGGTTCCTTAAAAAGTTAAATGTGGAATTACCATATGACCCAGCAATTCCACTCTTAGATACATACCCAAAAGAACTGAAAATAAACAATACATATGTACACATATTCATAGCAACACTACTCACAATAGCCAAAAGGTAGAAATAGCCCAAATGTCTATCCATGGTTTTTTAAAAAAGTCCATCAATAGATGAACACATAAACAAATTTTGATACATATATAGTATATATAATGGAATATTATTCACTCATAAAAAGGAATGAAGTACTGATAAGTACTACAATGTGGATGAACCTTAAAAATATGGTAAGTGAAAGAAGCCAGACACAAAAGGTCATATATTGCTTGATCCCATGTATATGAAATATCCAGAATAGGTAAATCTATCGAGACATAACATAGACGGGTGGTTGCCAGGGCCTGGAACAAGAGTGGAATGGGGAGCAACTGCTTCATGGGCAGGGGTTTCCTTTTGGAGTGATGAAAAGGTTTTAAAACAAGGTAGAGGCAGTCTGTGCACAATACTGTGAATGTACTAAAAACCACTGAATTGTTCATTTTACAATGTGAATTATAAAATGTGTAGTATGTGAATTTCACCTAAATAAAACAAAAATGTTAAATATATATATTAGCACTTGATAAACAGTAGATGAGGAGGAGGAAGAGGAAGAGAATAAAAGAAGAGAAGACCAGGAGAAAGAGGGGAGAACAAGAATAAGAAACCACCCAGAGCACTGACAATAAGCAACTCTAGAAAAAAAGGAAATTTTTATTCTATAATTTTCTCGAAATGTTTAATCTAGTTAACTGAGTAACTGAAATTTTCTTTAATGGCGTATTAAAATATTTTTCACTTTTCCTAATATTAAAGAAGAATTTTTTCCTTGCTGAAGCATACCTTACCAATACTACAGAGTTCACACACACACACACACACACACAAATCAACTTTACGGCATGATTTTAAAAATGAAAAGCAAAACTAACTGTGGTCTGTGAATACTAACACATATAAGTGAATGTATTAAATACCCAGGGGAAGCGTAGGCACCAAATTCAGGATAGGGGTTTCCTTTTGGATGAGGATAACAGTATAAGGATAACATTACAGAGGAATACACAGAAGGCTTCAACTGTATCTGTAAGCCTTTAATTCTTAAGTTGGGTAGGGGGTAAACTGGTGTTCACTAATTTTCTACATTCTTCTATTCTCAAAATATTCCATAATTTAAATTTATTTTAAAAAGGAAAAAAGAAAGCAGAGAAGCTTGCCTGTTGAACTGTAATAGGGAAGGGAGGAAAGGTAGGAGTTGTTTCTATTTAGCCCTAAGTATGGCTATAAAGAGTACACTTCAAAGGTTATCTAGATGTGCCCAAGCCAATAAGCAGCTTGCCTACAGGTTGGTTAATGTTATGTGAAAAACTGAAAGAAAATACACCAAATTTTTCAAAGGAAATTACTCTTTCACTTACCATAATTGTAATTTCCCTTTTACAAATGTTGAGGTCTGTCGCGTTATTGACATACATTCGCTTCAATGCATAGCGGAGTCCACCGTGAGTCCGCACCAGGAAAACTGTGGAGAATCCACCTAGAAGAACAAGAATCTACTAAATAAGAAGAATTTGAAGCTCCTGCCAAAATCATGTAACAGCACTGAGGAGCTTAATCTCACAGGGAAATAAACTGATTGTACACAAGACAAAAATAAGAACAGTAAACAACTAACACATTGTACTAAATTAACAGCCCAATCATTGGCTTCCTATGCCAATCATGAAGTAGCACATACAGGATAACATGCTTCTCAAGTTAAAATATACAAATATCATTTGAGTGGGAATATTTCTTATATAGGACGTGGAAAATGTTAACAACTTAACTATATCACTATAGTTTGGCAAATACTAGTGATTGCCTACCCATCAGCCTCTCCATCTTAGTGATGACAAAACACTGATGTGATTTAATATGAGACATCAACGGGATCAGATGGGTGGGTCCCTCTTAAAGCTCCAGGGGATCAACCAACACTGTTCTAAGGCAATAATGGGAATCTCATTTCCTCTTGTCAGCAGCTGATTTAGGATTGAATATGTAACCAATTTTGGCTATATGGGACATAAGGAAAAGTATGCTGAGGGTTGCAGGAAAGATTTTCCAACCAGAAAAAACAAAACAAAACAAAAAAAAGATTCATATGATGAGGCTCTGCTCTTCCTTCCGGCTTTTGGATTTTGTTGTATAAGAATATACTCTTTAGACCTATGGCAACCATATGTGGTCATGACGGAAAAAAGAATGAGAGAGAAAATGACCCAAAACACTGAATTACTTTGGCAACTGAATTACACAAGCCTTCCAGACCTCTCACGTGAGATTATACATGTCCTCATTATTTATGCCACAGTGTGTTAACTGTACCCCAGAAAGCATCATATATGAAACAAATAGCCAGGTATTCTAAAGGACAATTACTTCTGTCACATACAAACAAAGATTTCCACCTTAAGTTTTTAAAACTCATTTTAGCATAGGATATTTTGTAGCTTAATTATAATTTTAAAACAAAAAAAATTACCGATACCCTCATTCACCAGAGGGAAGACAGCAGAAGCAAGAAAAATAGAAGCAGGAAAAACTACAGAAGCAAGAAGACAGCAGAAGCAAGAACTACAATCCTGCAGCCTGTGGAACAAAAACCAACATCACAAAGAGGTAGACAAGATGAAAGGGCTGAGGGCTATGTACCAGATGAAGGAACAAGATACAACCCCAGAAAAACAACTAAATGAAGTGGAGATAGGCAACCTTCCAGGAAAAGAATTCAGAATAATGATAGTGAAGATGATGCAGGGCCTCAGAAAAAGGATGGAGGCAGAAGTCGACAAGATGGCAAGAAATGTTTCACAAAGATCTAGAAGAATTAAAGAACAAACAAACAGAGATGAACAATACAATAATTGAAATGAAAAATACACTAGAAGGAATCAATAGCAGAAGAACTGAGGCAGAAGAACGGATAAGTGACCTGGAAGACAGAATGTGGAATTCACTGCTGCAGAACAGAATAAAGAAAAAAGAATGAAAAGAAATGAAGACAACCTAAGAGACCTCTGGGACAACATTAAATGCAACAACATTCACATTACAGGGGCCCCAGAAGGAGAAGAGCGAGAGAAAAGACCTGATAAAATATTTGAAGAGATTATACTTGAAAACTTCCCTAACATGGGAAAGGAAACAGCCACCCAAGTCCAGGAAGCACAGAGAGTCCCATACAGGATAAATCCAAGGAGAAACACACTGAGACACACAGTAAACAACTTGGCAAAAATTAAAGACAAAGAAAAATTATTGAAAGCAGCAAGGGAAAAATGACAAATAACATACAAGGGAACTCCCATAAGGTTAACAGCTGATTTCTCAGCAGAAACTCTACAAGCCAGAAGGGAGTGGCATGATATACTTAAAGTGATGAAAGGGAAGAACCTACAACCAAGATTACTCTACCCAGCAAGGATCTCATTCAGATTCAATGGAGAAATCAAAAGCTTTACAGACAAGCAAAAGCTAAGAGAATTCAGCACCACAAAACCAGCTCTACAACAAATGCTAAAGGAACGTCTCTAGTGGGAAACACAGCAGAAGAAAAGGACCTACAAAAACAACCCCAAAACAATTGAGAAAATGGTAATAGGAACATACATATCGATAATTATCTTAAACGTGAATGGATTAAATGCTCCAACCAAAAGGCACACGCTTGCTGAATGGATACAAAAACAAGACCCATATATATGCTGTCTACAAGAGACCCACTTCAGACCTAGGGACACATACAGACGGAAAGTGAGGGGATGGAAAAAGATATTCCATGCAAATGGAAATCAAAAGAAAGCTGGAGTAGCAATTCTCGTATCAGACAAAATAGACTTTAAAATAAAGACTATTATAAGAAACAAAGAAGGACACTACATAATGATCAAGGGATCAATCCAAGAAGAAGATATAATTGTAAATATTTATGCACCCAACATAGGAGCAACTCAATACACAAGGCACCTGCTAACAGCTATAAAAGAGGAAATTGACAGTAACACAATAATAGAGGGGAACTTGAACACCTCACTTACACCAATGGACAGATCATCCAAACAGAAAATTAATAAGGAAACACAAGCTTTAAATGACACAATAGACCAGACAGAATTAATTGATATTTATAGGACATTCCATCCAAAACCAGCAGATTACACTTTCTTCTCAAGTGTGCACAGAACATTCTCTAGGATAGATCACATCTTGGGTCAAAAATCAAGCCTCAGTAAATTTAAGAAAATTGAAATCATATCAAGCATCTTTTCTGAGCACAACGCTATGAGATTAGAAATCAATTACAGGGGGTTTCCCTGGTGGCACAGTGGTTGAGAGTCCACCTGCTGATGCAGGGGACACGGGTTCGTGCCCCAGTCCGGGAAGATCCCACATGCCGCGGAGCGGCTGGGCCCATGAGCCATGGTCGCTGAGCCTGCACGTCCGGAGCCTGTGCTCCGCAACAGGAGAAGCCACAACAGTGAGAGGCCCGCGTATACCGCAAAAAAACAAAAAAAAAAAGAAATCAATTACAGGGAAAAGAACGTAAAAAACACAAACTCATGAAGGCTAAACAATATGTTACTAAATAACCATAAGATCACTGAAGAAATCAAAGATGAAACCAAAAATACCTAGAGACAAATGACAATGAAAACACGACGATCCAAAACCTATGGGATGCAGCAAAAGCAGTTCTAAGAGGGAAGTTTAAACCTATAGAAGCTTACCTCAAGAAACAAGAAATATCTCAAATAATCTAAAATTACACCTAAAGGAACTAGAGAAAGAAGAACAAACAACACACAAAGTCAGCAGAAGGAAAGAAATCATAAAGTTCAGAGCAGAAATAAATGAAATAGAAACAAAAAAAAACAATTGCTAAGTTCAATAAAACTAAAAGCTGGTTCTTTGAGAAGATAAACAAAAGTGGTAAACCATTAGCCAGACTCATCAAGAAAAAGAGGAAGAGGACTCAAATCAATTAAATTAGAAATGAAAAAGGAGAAGTTACAACAGACACTGCAGACATACAAAGCATCCTAAAAGACTACAACAAGCAACTCTATGCCAATAAATTGAACAACCTGGAAGAAATGGACAAATTCTTAGAAAGGTATAACCTTGCAAGACTGAACCAGGAAGAAATAGAAAATATGAACAGACCAATCACAAGTAATGAAATGGAAACTGTGATTAAAAATCTTCCAACAAACAAAAGCCCAGGACTAGATGCCTTCACAGGTGAATTCTATCAAACATTTAGAGAAGAGCTAACACCCATCCTTCTCAAACTCTTCCAAAAAATTGCAGACGAAGGAACCTCCCAAACTCATTCTGTGAGGCCACCATCAATCACCCTGATACCAAAACCAGACAAAGATACTACAAAAAAAGAAAATTGCAGACCAATATCACTGATGAATATAGATGCAAAAATCCTCAACAAAACACTAGCAAACAGAATGAAACAACACATTAAAAGGATCATACCATGATCTAGTGGGATCTATGGCCAACTAATCTATGACAAAGGAGGCAAGGATATACAATGGAGAAAAGACAGTCTCTTCAATAAGTGGTGCTGGGAAAACAAGACAGCTACATGTAACAGAATGAAATTAGAACACTCCCTAACAGCATACATAAAAATAAACTCAAAATGGATTAAAGACCTAAATGTAAGACCAGATACTATAAAACTCTTAGAGGAGAACATAGGCAGAACACTCTATGACATAAATCACAGCAAGATCTTTTGTGACCCACCTCCTAGAGAAATGGAAATAAAAACAAAAATAAACAAATGGGACCTAGTGAAACTTAAAAGCTTTTACACAGCAAAGGAAACCATAAACAAGACGAAAAGACAGGGCTTCCCTGGTGGCGCAGTGGTTGGGAGTCCACCTGCCGATGCAGGGGACGCGGATTCATGCCCCGTTCTGGGGTAATCCCACGTGCCGCGGAGCAGCTGGGCCCGTGAGCCATGGCCGCTGAGCCTGCACGTTCACAGCCTGTGCTCCGCAGCGGGAGAGGCCCCAGCAGTGAGAGGCCCACGTGCCGCAAAAAAAAAAAAAAAAGACAACCCTCAGAATGGGAGAAAATATTTGCAAACGAATCAAAGGACAAAGGATTAATCTCCAAAATATATAAACAGCTCATGCAGCTCAATATTATAAAAACAAAAGACCCAATCCAAAACTGGGCAGAAAACCTAAATAGACATTTCTCCAAAGACAATATACAGATGGCCAAGAAGCACATGAAAAGCTGCTCAACATCACTAATTATTAGAGAAATGCAAATCAAAACTACAATGAGGTATCACCTCAGACCAATTAGAATGGGCATCATCAGAAAATCTACAAACAACAAATGCTGGAGAGGGTGTGAAGAAAAGGGAACCCTCTTGCACTGTTGGTGGGAATGTAAATTGATACATCTACTATGGAGAACAGTATGGAGGTCCCTTAAAACACGAAAAATAGAACTACC